AGCTCATGTTCATCTTGGAGTCAATAATGACTCCGAGATCCCTTTCTGCCTCTGTGCTTTCAAGAAGGGGACTCCCCAGTCTGTATGTATGCTGTGGATTCCTTCTCCCAAGGTGCAGCACCCTGCATTTGTCTATGTTGAACCCCATCCTATTTTCATCTGCCCACTTTTGTAGTCTGTCTAAATCTAGTTGCAGCCTCTCTCTCCCTTCAAGTATGTCCACCTCGCCCCACATCTTAGTGTCATCAGCAAACTTGGACAGAGTGCTTTCCACCCCCTGATCCAAGTTGCTGATGAAGATGTTAAACAGTGAGGGCCCGAGGACCGAGCCCTGGGGTACCCTATTGCTCACATCTCGCCAGGTTGAGTACAACCCGTCCGCCACTATTCTCTTGATCTTGGACATGTGATTACTATGTGGGTAGTTCAGATCCAGGGTAAGGTGTCACTATCCCCAAACAATGCTAATGAAATGAGGGAGGAAACAGCATCCTCCAGCAATGGAGATAACTCGCACTGACAGGCTGCTGTTGCCTCTTTCCACCCTCCTGCCTCTCTCCTGGTTGTTCCATTTGACTAAGTGGCCTCTTCTTGGCATTAGTGTTTAGTACTTCACTTCTAAAACACACTAGGAAATGCAAAGCATGGATATTAAATTCTGTTCTACCAGGAAAGGGGATGAAGTGAGAAGAGAAGGCATGAATAGGAAAACACTAGGAAAAAGAGGAGGAATGCCAGCAGCAAGAGGTCTGTCTGGGCCTTGAGGCCCATTAGGGAGCTGATCACAGCATGTTCCTTGGAGACTTACTTTAGATAGTGCACTGCTTAAGCCTTCCTTTTCACTCTCCAGCACTTCCTTCTCCAGTGTGGCCTGGTTCAAGGATTCCTTTACCATCACCAATTCCTTCTTCAAGGCTGAGGTCTTCTCCTCTAGCTGTTCTAAAGATCTTTGCCTGCAGGAATTATACAAATGGGAGAAACATGAATAATAAGGTAAAGTGTAGGGGTTTAATCCTCTGGGCCCAGACATATGGCATCTTTACACTGGCATAAGCTTCCTTTACCCCAGTGTAAAAAAAAAGGAATAGAGCTCTACACCAATATAACTTACTAGAATTGTGTGCAGAGCTACCGTGGGGCAAAACTGCTTAAAAAGGTACTGGTGAAAGTTACCCTGGTGTATGTTATGCATACACAGCTATCCTGGGATAGTTATTTGCTCAGTGCAAACAGGCTGTTACCTGCTCCTACATCACCCAGTGTTGAGGCAGCAACCAGGCCAGGACAACAGGTCCCTTGCTTCTCTAAATCCCAGTGTAGTTCATGCCAGATGTAAACTACACCAGTGTTAAGGTGTCCTGTGTCCACACTGTGCTAGCTGCCTCCATGTACAGTCATTGACACCAGTACAATGTGAGTTCAGAATGGGGCTTATGCTCCCTTGGCCAAGCTACAGGGCAATAAACAACTGGGTTTCCCCATGCATGATCTCAGCTTCATGTCACACTGTCATCCTTTCTTAGTTAGGCAGACTTGTACTCCCAGGTCTCAAACTGCTAAGCCCGTTTGACAGCATGCAGCTGGAGGTGTTATTTGTTGCTTAGGACATGGATCAGGGATATTCTGCTGTGGAGACAACCCCTGCTTTCTCCAGGTAGCATGATGAGCATGGAATGAGAACACTGTTCTGGCACTGTTGCCCTCATACATGTGTCACTGGATCAGGACCCCACTGGATTCCACCTCCCCTGGGATTGCAGCACTGCAGATGGGATATGGGCATAGGGGAGGGGAATTCCAAGGACAACTCCTCACCCTCGCTCCAGTTCCTTCCTTGATCGCTCCCGTTCCTTGGCCAGATCCTCCTTCTGCTCCTCCATGATGTTTTGCTGCCTCTGCAGTTCCACATTCACTGTCTTCAGCTTCTCCACTTCCAGCCGGGAGGAGTCCACCTGCTCACTCAGACCTCCAACTGTCATCTCCAAGGTCTCCTTCTCCCTGAGAAGGCCAGAAATATATGTATGGACCTATTTGGCCTTGGTGCAGCGTGATCCACATTGTTTCCTCAAGTGGTTGGACCATGTATGGATCAAGAGGCTCTTGACTCCTTCCAGGCTCACGGAGTGAGCTCTTCAGCCTAAGCAGCAGGAGTTTGTGGATCTAGATTCAGGCTCATTCCTGAGTGACAATGACTGAAATGTCACGGCATCCAGCACACACAGGTCCCAGCACAGGAGAAAGAGAGGTGC